ATTCCTTGCTACTGGAAACTGGAAACTGGTGCCAGCTGTCTATGTGGGTTCTAGTCTAGTAGTTGTCTATGTGTCTTCAGATCATCACCATGCTGACAATGATCAGGAGTGCCTGGTGTGAAATTCATCAACGTGAATGCAGCATAGCCAGCCAGGCAGCATTTAGTAACATGGCTGGCACACCGTGCACAGCCTACTCGTACGCTGGGCTCATGGACGAAGAGACAGCCGAAAGCTTCGCTCACCTGTTGGCCTGGGCAGGACAACGTCGGAAGGTTCAAGAGCCTGTCATAGTGCAGGAATGCACTGAAAAATTTGACAGGACTGCTTTGGAAAAGTTGCTCCCAATGTACACGTGGAGCTACGCACTGCTAAATCCAGAATCTTTTGAGTTTCCAGTCAGGAGGATTCGTCAATGGTGTGTGTGTCTTTGCTTCAGAATTCATCATATCTTATTATGTTTTCTTCTAAGCCTACATGCTAAATAAATATGTCGTCATTTGATCGCCATATGTTGAAGCAATTGGATTTGCCACTTCCCGACTGCCTATGGCCCATGCACCATCTAACTACAGTGTATCACCAACACATCATTATATCATCTAATGTTTCCAATGACAGTTCCATCATCTATCACTTACCACTAAAGATGCGGGCTATTTTGTAGCAAATACAATTGGAAACATACTATGTCACCATGCTAACTGATCAATGGGATAAGCTTGGTATGGCTTAGGGTTTGTTCTAATGCAAGTTATTGTTTGTAATTTTGTATTTTTATAAAATGTGCAGTATGGTTTTGTTCTATTGTATATGTGGCTGTATGTTTTTGTATTCTGTAGTTTGTTCTACTGTATACCAAACTGAGTTTGCTTATGTTGTTAGTGGTCGTTGTAGCTGTTGCCTGTTTATGATATGGTTTTGATGTCATTCATTAGTACGGTAAACAAATTTTGATGGGTATGCCACTCAGCAGCCTCAGGGGTCGTCATCGCGACAAAACGCTTGGATTTCGTAGTGTTCTGGATTCTTTTGCACATCGTTTCCAACGCAAGTGTGATGCTGACTGGCAAATCTACTTCTGGGAGAACTTGGGCAATCATGGCACGAAGTTGTTCTTTATGAATTCCGGATTGATTTGACAATCAATAAGAATGAAGCATAGTTAATCTGTTATATCATTGAGCATTAGAGCCCAATGAACCGAAACACAATATCCAGCTTCATGACCTTATTGTTTTTAAATGTCACTTAATGATGATGTCACTGAAATAGTTGTATTCCCGTGGCAGTGAATATGGATTTGTACTTTGCAGAACTCAATCCACCAAATAAAGTCACTGAACCATATTCAACTGGTTGTGTTGTGATTAAGTTGTGGTTGACTTAGTGATTGACGTACCATTTGTCTTGCATTAGAGTACGACAATGCAAGTAATACATCAACTACTACAGTCACAGCTACATAAACATAATAATAAACATTGCGCCACAGAACCATCCATGCCATCCAGGAATGAAATGGCAGAGTTGCTGCGTGAGCTCGTGTGGGCAGCATCGCGCCCGGGATCGAGGAGAGCGTCTGAGACAGGGCATGCCCCTATGGATTCGGATCTGGAGGGGGATCTGGATGATGCTTTTGAACATTGTTTGACTTCGTGGGAGCACACAGCTTACACAAAGTATATCAACCAATGTCCAGGAGGAGGCCTCTTTTCATTGAATCAAAACCCAGACGTCCGGGCAACATTTTCCAAGAAGGGTTCGGCTTCTTGATTTGAATTGATGGGTATTGGACCAACCACAAACTCAAACAACCATGTGCGTGTTTAGATGGTTGAGAGTGGCCTTGAGCATTTGAACAATCAACTAACAATTAATTAATATATTATTCATTACGGCATTACTGTCATTACGCTTGTATCTTTGACCATATATGTATGATTCATATGTATCTTACTGTCTATTCCTTTCTCAGGGTAAGATCAGATCAATCACTATCGGGACTATCGGGTTCTACATCCAATCAAGACCCAGCTGGGCCAGCACCAAACAAAAATGTCTTTTCATGTTGACTTTGACAAACCAATAAACAATGTTGAAGTACAGACCATCTGCTAACCAACACAATGTCACAATGGCCATTGAATCCATTTTTGAGGCTATGATGACATTGGTGGCATCGGCCAACATCCTCATGAGCAGTGTTCACCGTCGATGGTTGACCCGGAGAGAGATTGTCATGATCCAGGGGTTCCCATGCACTTCAGATGACACACATGGGGTACCATGCTCGAGCTATGCGAAACGTCACCACGATGCCTATCATGGTAGGCCGTCGTCTGATTGGCCTAGTCGACGTGCAGTATGTGAGCAAGCTGGGAACAGCATGCATACAGCAATTTCCGGGGTTGTCATGCTGTTTACGCTCACTCAAGTCATGATGTCACCAGATATGATGCATCTTCAGGTGGCTGAGTTGCAGCGTACCATCAGGGTTAGCATTGATAACCCGATGATGCTGAGTCAGGGCAGCCAGGGCTCCACACGTCCATGTCGCAAGAGAACGATGCCAGCCAATGATCCTCCTGATCATTCGACGACATCACCAGGTGATCAGGAGACCGATTTGAGTCATGAGCATGTCAACAGCCATGATGTACAGAATGTAAAGAAATCAAAGACCGACCAGATTGAAATTGAAATCAAATTCTGATTTCGGCCATTTTGGCAAGTATGATCTATCTATGTCAGCGTGCAATAGGTTGAATGCTGCAAGCATTTCAAACCAGCTTCAATTCACAAAGTCATGACCATCATGATCTGAAAAAAATCTATGATGGACCAATTGATCAGTACAGTCTGTTATACGTTCCCAGACAGGGTCTCAGCACCAGCATCGTGTCTCACAAGGAAAGTGCGGGGAGTCAATACTGTGCACATCATCTTTCATTCATTTACCATACATTTCTATTCAAGGAGTCAAGTACTGTATCCAAATATATTCCAAGCCCCAAGTGAGTGGTCTGAAACTCGAAGTAAAGTATATGACTGCTTTGAATTTACGCGATGTGACACGACATGGCATATGTCATGCTGGGAACGTTCCAAACTAAAGACCAGTCGCCTCCGCCTGTTCGCCTGGGGGATATCAAAAAAGAAACTAGAGTCCGTCAGCATCAGTGGCAACTGCTAACCACCAGGGAATGGTTCGAAACATTTCAACCGATCAAAGTCTCACATCATGAGACTACAACAATGACCTAGTTGCTTCCGAAATAGCCTTGAATCGGATTAATTTTAGCCTCTCCTGATTGTTTGATGGTATTTGATGCTTGGAACATCTCCACTGTGATCAGCCACCGCAACGCTGAGGTCAGAACCATGGACCATGGCGTCGAAGTTCACCCACAACACTCTCTGCATTTTACATAATGTTTGAATCTCAGCTGTGGTTGGCTGGTCGGCTTGGAAATAAAGTAAACCACAACAACAAAGACTGACCAACATAACAAGTTTTTCGACATAATGTCAATGTTCACCGACCATGAAATCAAGAATCATTTTGGGTGAGTGTAAACATGGTTACTATCAACAATCCAACACATCAACAAGATTCAACAAGCAATCTTTATTGCAAGTTAGTTCTTAGATCTTCAGTATATATCATGGCCGCAACCAAACTTCTGGACGTATGGAAATTGAAGTTTGAAGTGATCTTTGGAATCTTTGGAAAATTGCTTGATACATGATCAATGGAAATATTTGTAGTACCCAGCCATACTTACTTGATTGTTAGGTTTGGTTTGGTGATGAGTGATGAACTCGCCAATCTCCGACTCTCCGACTGCTCAATTCCCTAGCCTGAGTCAGACCACATCTTCACATCGGCGCGCTTTGATAACAAACAGCTACTTAGCCACAAGATTCTACAAAGGCTAAAGCTTTACAACAACTGATGTTCACTGTTGGAAACTCGGAGCCCTGATCATAACCATTTCAAAATCATTTCGCAAGCATATCCAGCAGATGAATAATCACACGCTGTTACATATATTAACAATATACCATGCTGTCATCCTGACAACATATGAATGATATATACTTATATATACATTACATTCCTAATTGCGCTGAAACCTGTCTTGCCAACCGCCATATCCTTGCGTTGGCCGTGACTGCGCCAGTCACACAGTTTCGTTTCCTGGGCTTTCTCGATTGCTTGGCCATTTCCATCGTTGCAATGGCAGTGGCACGTGGCAAGGAATACCTACTCAAAGGTGTCGATCCATTTGACGAGAAATCATCCATCCAGTCCTTGTTCGGCACCGACTTGAAAGGTCGAGTTCTACAAGAAGCAATCTGGAATGTCTACCAGGCCAGAAGGTATGTATTTCCATGTGTGTTGAATTGTGCGTGTGTATGAACCCAAATAAATAATTCATATATTCATTATTCATAACCGTATCACTTGTTAATGCTGTTTGTTTTGTGATCATAGTCATAGTGTTTCATGTGTTCATGTGTTCATGTGTTTGTGATTTGTGAGTATGTGTGTTTTTTAAAGTTTCCTTCTTGATACAAGAAACAAAAGTACTCATAGGTCACAATTCATCTTGGTACCGTAGTAGTTACCATAGGTTCTGGTTTGTGTCTTCTCCCGAAATGATTGTGACTGTGCTGTAATATGAATATGTGGTGATGATCATATGATCTTTGAGAATTGTTGAGAACCTCAGAGACTAACATACTGACTCACATACTGACTCATTCATATCATAAGTTTGAACCTATTAGCCACAGTACGAACGCTGTGTACTTTCGTTTGTTTTGAAATATGTTACACTTTCACTTTATTGGTACATATGGCAATCATCCATCTTAGATTCTCAGATGCTTCAACATCTCATAGCGTCAGATGTCGCAGTCACATAATGTAACAACACCTCACACCCCTGTCACTCCACCTATACACCTGATACCTGTGACCAGTGCAGCACATGCAGGTTGGGGAGAAGTGTCGCATCAAATGGTTTTTGTGCAACAACTCAGATGATGCAACTTTGTTTCCATTTGAACAGCGGCGACGCAGCATAGTTCGCCACCCTATGAACAATCGGCAGCAGCGGTCGGTGAAGTCCACATACGTCCAGAGCGTGAAAGCCCGTGGAGTATGTGAAGGAGTTCGAGGAGAAGCATGGATGATTCAACCGTCGCCGCAAAGTGATGTGGGACAGCAACAGTCGCCTTACCTTGCCCTATCCTATGGTAGCCTGTCAGAGGCTTTCTACCAGGCGTTGATTGATGAAGGGTCCAATCCCAACTTGCTCATGAGCTTGAAGAGAGGCCTCGAGGTGAGACTCCTACATCACAGAACACCTCCAGACGTGATCAGATTTCTCATTCATTACCACAATGGATTCCATGCTGGTAGTGGCACTTCGTTCTGCGAGTTGGTCGCAATGGTTCCAGATGTCACTCGAATGCAAGCCATCCACACATAACACAAACACACACAACATATAAACATATATAAAGACAAAGACACACTACTCACCACACACACAACATATTATCATATTATCAGTCTGGCTGTGGACTCATGATATATCTATCAGAAGCATCAACAGTTTAAAGGATGTTCATTTTCCATTTCATAGTTGTGTAGTGGTAATTGTTCAAAATATCCAGATTCAACCTGCCAAACTCGAGCATCAGACACAAACACGTCATAGTCAGTCATTGTGGCACTGATGATGTCAACATTAGACTATATCACCATATGATCATATGTATGTATTTTGTATTTGTTTATTTGTGTCCATTGACTCATTGACAACAAACTGGTCCATAATCCATTGGAATCCATTGATCCATGAGATTAGATTACACCAATGAATTTGAAACTCGGGTGATGGACAATGACAATGACATATTCAGGATTCATGATGATTATAATTGCAAATTCACGGGTTCATTGCAAATTATAATTGCCATAGATCCAGGTCGAGGCTGCCTTGTCGCATTGGAAGCAGGGCAATGGCATCAACTGGTCGCAAAAGGATTACGAGAACAAGTGTTTCCTGGCTTTGCTTTTGTTTTGGGATGGCGGTTGTGAGGGCGAACAGGACATACATACACAGACACATATGTTACATACATATGATCTAAATGATTTGATATGGAATGTGGAAAACCCACTGTGCCCACTGTGTATGGAATGAAAGTTTTGTATAAATGATTCAATGATAAGTAGTGATACGTTGCAATTAGACAGTAACTAGTAAGCACCAAAAAGCTTCTCCAATGCCTTTGAAACTCTATAGTCAACACCCAGTCGGTTCTTCGCTCATGCAATGGCTCATGCAAGGTCTGGCTCATCATGCAGACCATATAGGTGACGATGGGTATGTATGCATGCATGCATGTAATGTAATGCAATGCAATGCAATGTAATGCAAAGCAATGTAATGTAATGTCATGTCATGTATGTATGTAATGAATGAATGAATGAATGAATGAATGAATGAATGAATGAGTGAGTGAGTGAGTGAGTGAGTGAGTGAGTGAGTGAGTGAGTGAGTGAATGAATGAATGAATGAACGAACGAATGAATGAATGAATGAAATGAAACGAAGTGAAGTGAAATGAAATGAAATAAAATGAAATGGAAATGAAACGAAATGAAATGAAAGAAAGAAAGAATGACTGAATGAATGAATGATTGAATGAATGAATGAATGTATGTGTGTGTGTATGTATGTTTGTATGTATGTATGTTTGTATGTTTGTATTATCTGACATTAACGCATGCAATCTTGATGCATGTATGTTAGCATAGTTGTATGTATTTATTAAAAAATATATATGTTTTGATTACCATTTCTTTGTTGTATGTTTCTGACTTTGACCACACAATGCAAAACAAATTTGTGATTTTGGTTTTCAACACATCATTGTCAGTTTTCTTCTGTGAGTCTGTGAGACCCAAACCTAGAGCGTTAAACTTTGTGCATGTTTTTCCCCATCATACTGCAGGTGCCCAATTTATCAAAGACCATGCAGAGTTTGGTGAGCTCTTTCCAGAGTGGAAACTTTGGGAATCAGCGCGTTACTGCCACCGGTTCTTTTCGAAGCTTCACTTGATGTCAGAGTTCAACGACATGATGTCAAAGAATGTGGATTTCTTGCACCCCCGGCTTCACAATGGAGTTGTTCTGCAGTGTATCCAGCATGTGACAAACTCGGTGACTACTTCGTTGTATGACGGTGTCAGTGAGCAAGATCACAATTTCCTGATCCTGCTGCTCTCCAAGATGTGCGTGTCTTGATCAATATATCTATCTAACTTGTTTTGCATCATTTATTTGTTCAGTCACAGTGTCTTCATACCTATCAGCTATCAAGCTCAAGGGTTTTTATTTTACATCAATGTGAATGTGTGGAGTCAATGTGTTGATGTTTGCTGCTTTGCACTTCATGTCACTCATGTCTTTGTCGATTCAGTGCCCTTCCGTTGCTTGTCACACATGTCAGGTTCCTACCCTCCATGCCAACGGTGAATCGCAATGGATCTTTGATGTTGCCACGAAGAAGGTCCTTGTGTCAAGGATCTACACAGTCATGACTGGTTCGGTGGTCACTGTGGGGAAGAAAAAGAATGACAACAAGAAGCGCGGAGCTGACAAGGAGAACATGAATGCGAACAAACGTGCTCGCGTCACTCCTGGAGGAAAGGCCAAAGCAAAAGCTAAGAGTGCAGCACTTGCCATGCCCAATATCCCAGACGAGAAGGATTTGAACTCTACAACCATAGAGTGCACGCTGGGTGTGCGCAACAAGTTGTGGATTGACGATCTTCTCAAGTGTGCATCACATGTCTCCAGCAATGTGGCTTCGAATTTCGGGATTGCCGACTCTGAGGCAATCCTCAACCTGAAGATGCACCTGATCGAAATGGGCCTCATGTTTGCATTCAAAGAGCAGATCATGATGGAGACCCAGAAAGGTCCCAAGCTGTTCAGGAAATGGTCGACGATGCGACCGGCATTGAAAGAGCACGCGCAGATCTACATGTTGAAGGTATGCCTGTATGAAATGATTTCGGGTTAAGCCTCAAGTTCAAATGGTTAATAGTTAATAGTTGCTAAATAGTTTAACTGAGAAAAAGAATAGCTATGTCACTATGTCACCAAGTGCTCCACATGAGAATGTCATAGGTTGAAGCACTTACAAAAGAAACAACAATTTCAAGAGTTTGGGGACTCTGGGTTGGCCAACATACCTTATTATTATTACCCTATGTTGTGTGATATGTGATCAGTTGTTTGCAACACTTACCATTCCAAATGGTTCAGGGTGAGGTTCAGGGTCAGGTTCATAATCCATAAAAAAAGCTCAATGTTATAGTTAGTTGTTGATGACACATTGTTGGTTGATTGATTGACATTTGATACCGGATCCCAACCCGATCCCCCTGCAGAAAATGCAAATTACGTTGGGTGCTGCGATGGCTGCCGACGCACAGACCGGGAGTTCTGCGTCAACTGGACTTGATCAGCTTGAGGCGGCAGTCAGCAACACTTGTGAGAAAATGATGCTGGACAATGATGCCAAGTTTGCTGACAAGTTGTTGCATTTCCTGCCCGACTTTGAGACATGGATGTCATCGGAACCATCGCTCAAGTGCGACAACCATTCTGATGTTCTTGACATCACGAAGCATGCCACCTTTGGACGTATGAAGGCAACCATCATGACATCATGCATCTGTGATGAGACTGCCTGCTTGTACGACAAAGGTGGCACCAATCATGGGTACCAACCCGGATGTCCTCTTCATGCAGAAGCAGTTCAGTTGAGTGATTTGGTTTATGAGATCACTACCACGGTCCACCAAGTCTTCACAGACAAATTCATGTGCTTTGCTCAGCTCATTCGAGAAAAGAGTGTCGCAGGCAGGGCCCGGCAATGTTGTAGAACACATAAACACACAAGTTTCAAACTTGTCTAGATCTGGTATGTTTCTTACTTGCCATCTAACCAAAGTACAACACTTGTGTGTGTGTGTTTGTTCAACATATTCTGTTTGTTAAACAATATATTGGGTTTGGGAACGGGTAGGCACGTTGTTGTTGGATTTTGATGTTGACTATTTGGGAATGGGGAGGTGTTTTTGCTTTTGATGACCCTGAGATTGGAAAGTCCCGAGCGACATACCGGAGCTCAAGAAGTTCAACCTGAGTGCTGCATGCGCAGGCATTTTGCAGGACATTCGATGTGCCTACATTTTGCAGCTCATGGTCACTCTTGTCAGCAAGACTGCCAAGAACTTGCTTCCGATCTTCGATGCATTACGTGGGAATGACCGAACCATGCTGACCAAGTGCTTGCGAGACTTGGACACATGCATGTTATCACAGGAGGCTTTGTGCATAGGATGGACCAAAGGTCTTGAGCAACTCCTGAACACACGCAGCATCAGTGCGCACAGTGTGTTGGTTGAGTTGAAGATCAAACCAGTGACCCCGGCAGCTCTCCATCTTCTTGGCAGTGGGAACCAGACATCAAGTGAAAATCTCGGTGATACCTCCGATGGTGATGCACATGGTGATCAGCCCATCTGTCTGATCATTAACGAGCTCTTGCTGTTTGGTTCGGAAGGCAATGATGTTGTTGGCACAGATCAACTACATTTGCTGCAATTGACTTTGCAGACAGCCATCATCAATGCAGCCATTGAGTTGGAGAACACCTGGCGATCCAAGTTGACGATTGTGATCATGCCTGAAGATGAGAAGACAACCAAGGGTCGGAAGAGTGGGCCGCCCAAATCCGAACTCCTTTTGCGAATCGACGACCCGTCATCGTTGATGAGGTCTGCCCAAGATCCACAAGTTCAGCTGTACCGACTACCAGATGACTTCGAGTTGGCATTCAGTGGCACAGTTGGTTACTTGTCTTTCATTTTTTTTGGCTTTTATACGATACACCTCACAAATTTGTCTACCATGCAATGGTTTCACCTACAAAAATTTGGTAGGTACAGACACACACACACACTGACCCACCCACTTGTGGTCTTGCCAGTGTTGCATCTCACATCTCATGTCTCATGTTGATATATTAGTGGCTATGTAAAAGTTGTGTTGTGTTAATTGTGTTCTGTGTTCTGTTTGTTGATTTGTTGACTGGTTTATGTCAGAAACACTTGAAGTGGGAGGTAAGTAAGTAATCATACTGAATCATACTGGGCAAACCAAACTCAGGCGAATATCTCACTTTGGATCCACATGCGTCGGCACGATCTCGGGCACAGTCACAGCGTGGCCCTGGGAAACCTATGACTGCAGTGCCCCTGCGCATCTTCAAGGACGAAGGGAAGGCTTCGACATTCGAATGTGTCCAGTCTTTGATTTGATTGAAGCATCATCAAAAGATATCACCCCATTTTGTTTGGTATATCTGCTTCAACCCCAACAACTACCACATCAACTCATCAACCATTAAAATTGAATCCTGGGACTAGAATGACTAGAACCCCCAAGACTGACTTATGCATTATTGGGTTTATGAATTCCTGATGTTTTTTTTTTAATGTTTTGGGATTCTAATATTCTATCGGAAAACACCAAACACACAGTAAAACATTATATCAGGGGGCAATGTGAGTGTATGCCAATAAACATAATTGCTATCTTTCTGCAATTTGGTATTTGGTCTTAGGGCCTGGATCGTGTTTTCAATATTTCAACAGATGTTTTTCACTATACATACAAGTACATACATATTTACAGTGTATATATATATTATATATATACACATCGTAAGATTATATAGTATATAATTTAGTTTTGATTCAAGTTGATTCGACTTATCTATCTAATCAAGTATCCACAAATCCATGGGGCACTAGTTCACAAAATATTCTATACCGATATACCTGTGAGAATGTAATATGTATATATATATACATATACATATTTGTAAAATAAACATATCATGTGACTGTAGACGAAACTGTAGTATACATACCCGAGACCAGTTAAAGCTAAATCCGAAATCCCAAATCATTGACTGCCAATTGACTGCAGCTTTTTGGCCTTTGTCTCATGTGTTATGTTTGTTTGGCTACCAGCCGGTCAAACTAACTGGTCCCACTATCCACATGCATCAAATATACATATAGACACACATCCATTATACATCATTACTGTTTTTGATGAAATCTTTGAATGAACTATCACTGTCACAGACTGTCACTGTCACTGTCACTGCATGCGCATCATGTAAATTAGTCGGAGTTTGGATGCCACCACTTGACAACTGAGGTGGGATGAATCTCGGCGTTGATGGCTCAACCTTTGCCAGTGTGGATGTGCCTACACCATGTGCGGCATGGATGGTGCCGCTTGTTCCGGATGAGAGCACACCACCATGCTTACACTACAACACCAAGACCACAAACGTCACATGGGGGGAAAAGGAGCTCGTTGTGGAATACGCAGTGCTATCTGCAAAGCCCAGCGATGGGAGCGCCCTTCCTATGTGCTATGTGAAATCCATCGGCAACAAGAAATTTGCCATCTTGAAACGTGGTCTGGTGTCACTCGACTTATTGCGTGTATTGTGATGACAATGGCCATAGTGTGTTAAGTTGAAGTTGTCATTACTGTGTATCAATGTCTATTATCAGTGTTCATTTGTTGATGTTGATGTTAGTTGATATGTTGATTTAGATATTAAATATCCAAATTTATGTTCAAAGAGGACCCACAGCCCGACTGTATCCAGAATACAAACTAGTCCAAAACTTGTTTGTAATCAGGCACTGCAGTTGCATTAAGGACTACAACATTTTTATGGTAATGTTAGTATTTAGATTATATGTTTACATCATAGACATTCATCACGGACTCAAACAAATACCTATAATATTTTCACCAACATTATCCAATCTTTCAACATATGCTATGTACTACTGAGGCCAGGTGAACAGTTCAAGGCCAAGAAGGTTGCACGCCGTGGCAATGGGAATGGTGCCATGGAGCCGGTTGCAGCGGATGACGCTGCCACTACCGCTACCAAGGGCACAGATGGCAATGATTCTGCGGCAGATGCGATGAAGAAAGCTGCTAAGGTGGGAGCAGCTGCCTGTGTGGAAGTGAAGTTGCAACGTGGTGGCAATGCTTCTTCTGAGACATCCCAGCCGTTGGTCTTGCGCACGCCCCGAGAAGCGAAACATTTGGTATCCTGATGAACGTCATCTACATGGATAATGGATGATGCCATCAAGAGTGTGACTAGTATTAGATCTGATGATCAATGATCGATGTCTTTGCTTGGCCTGCACCATGCAGCCACTGTTCCCGAAGATCGAAGATCTATATCATGTCATGTATGTAGTTCACGTCACACACCCATGGACAGATAGATGTGACGGTCTGACCTCTTTTATTTGTTCAACGGAGTTAGTCGGATCCTTCAATTCGAAGATTTCAACTTTCTTTGCACTTTGAGTTCTAGTATGGCCCGGCAGCTTTTGGTGATTACCCTTTTCCCTTTCCTTTGCACATCACGGGATTATGGTGGTGTGTATTGTGTTGAGCCAAGTTCTGAATGGAATGGCTCCTGGAGGCCGGCCTGTGGTTTTTGCCGCCCTTCGATTCAGTGATGCGACCATGCCAAAACAAAACTGTTGGCAAACAAACTCAGGCAGCAACATGCTGCTGCAACTGCCGGTGCGCTTTGGGAAAAACAGTTCATCATCAATCTGGCACAGGCACAGGTGTGAATGATGTGAAACCATTGCAGCGATGTTTTTATAATACAAGCTTACTGTCCATTTGCAACATGGACTTCATGAACTTTACTCCACTTATTTTCCAACAACTTAACCAACCTTATATAAGTGTTTTCAGCTGCCACAATCCCCGATTCTATGTGCATAATATCATCTGATGGTAGTGCGCATTGCTAAGGTCCTATGTGGCAGATGCTGTGGCAGCCCAAAGGGCTGGACCACCCACATCATGTGTGGTGCAGAGACATGTGAAAAATGGGTCGGTGCCAATCAGTGTTGTGCATCAACTATTCCTTCAGCTAGTATATATATGGTACACATATGCTCATTGGGGGTGCCTAGGTCCACCCCTGGTATGCGACCCCAGGTACCCAAACTAGGCTTCACTTTGCAGAGGGATTTGGACAACCCTACCCTTCATTGAGTGTATTATTCCAGGTAAAAGTCATCCGTAACTCGGAAGATTGCTTCCCAACTTCCTTTGACAATAGTTGTTGTAGCTCATCACTCTTTTGACACGCTGCATCTTGAGTGCTGCCTTAACGTTAACACGGAATGCTAGAGATATTAATATTTAATGACACTTAATGGTATTTAATGATATTTACTTATATTTAGTGATATCTAATGATACTTAATGATATTTAATGATATTTAAGGGTATTTAATGACATTTAATGATATTTATATATTTATATAATGATATTTAATTGTATTCAATGATATTTAATGGTATTTAATGATATCTAATGATATTAATATGGATGGAAGTATGGAAGTACTAAATATCAGGATGGATGTTCAGTCGTTTGTTCAGTTGCGCCTCAGCGGTCTGAGGACGAGCGGGTGGAAGTGTTGCGAGATACCACGGAAGGCGCGTCGCAGCGGGGGATGATGGATTTCCCCCGCTGATTGGTAGTTTCAAGACGTTTCACAAAGTCACAAAGTGATGTTCAATCCTACCTGGTTGCCTGGGTGGACCTTGATGGACTTTGATGTTTTTGGGGTGCAGGTGAAAGTACTACCAACCAGCATTAACCAGCAAAGAAGATAAGGGATGAAACACTCAGCCTCGTCCCTCAGATGATACCCTGATGCACACCATCATCATTATCGTGGCAGGGTGTTTGGTGCGACTCCCAGTTGTTGTTAGTGCACTTCAAAGAACCACAGTTTACACTCAGCGAGTGTAGGGAATTCATGGGAATTCCATACCCCACCAACATGGACATAGATTAAGTGAATTGTCCGTGTTAAAAGGACATCAGTTGTTTCTCAAGCTTGCGGCTGCAACTTCTCCGCAATTTGAGGCATGTTGAGTCCCGGAAAATGCAATTGACATCAATTGCCATTTAAAAAATGGACAAGGTCAACAACATTCAACAACCAAAGTTGAATGAATTTTAGTAAATTCGATATGACTATGACCAGGTTTTTTTTGGGTGAAGTTTGCACAATGTGAAGGTTGGCATCGTGGCTCTGGCAGCTGCCTATATGGCCACCCGCTGAGCGGGGGATGGACAACGGTTGACACCCGTGATCACCCGTGTTTGCCATGTTCTACCTAAATATACTATCATATATATATATATATATACTATAATAATAATAGTATATATATATATGTATGTATATATACATAATACATCATAATACTATCTAGTAATGATTTAGTATGATTTAGTCATGTTTAGTCCTTATAATTAGTTGAGTCTCAGTGAGGTGCCATTGGACAGGGTACTTGGCACTGAGATGCACTGTGTTCTTGGCAAGACCAAGCTGAAGTTGGTTCTACCCTCTGGTAATTTAACGTAGCTATTGAAAATGGCCATTAATAGTGGATTTTCCCATTAAAAATGGTGATTTTCCATAGCTATGTTAGTTTACCAGAGGGTAATGATGTCCAAGTTCTACAAATGCCAGTATTGATAGTATTGTGAGTGTTCGAACTGAGGAATTCCCAGTGAAGTCCCCCTATGTTTAGACACCTGGCCACCCTCCAAAGGCTTGCGACAAAGTACACAAGGTGCGCCGGAGGCGCGGCCTTTGTATAGCAATATACTGATAAGTTACTGACAAGTTACTGATACCCCTCTATTTGTCTACTCCAGGCCATCAAATATTCATCATTGCTGCATGACAGCATGAGACAAGGGAAGATTTGTCGATTTCCGCAGCCACTTCCAGTCTTGTCACTACTTGCCATTGGTATATATAGTCAGACCTGATGTCAACGAATACTTGTTTGGAGGTTAATTGCAGCTTCAACGGGGTACCTTCCTGTATACACATCCAAAACATTCCAAAACGGCAAAGGGAAAGCTGCAATTAAGCAGCGAAGTCGCTGGCAAGTGGTGAATTTTGATTTGCCATTGCGAAACATTGATTAGTAAAAGATACTTGTATTATGAATATTATTCTATATGTTGATCCGTCTTGATATACTGTGAACAATGTGTTCTAGATTCTGCATTTCATCGCGCAGCGCTAGCAGCTATGCCTGAGCTGCCGGAAGTGGAGTTCTCCCGGCGGCTGGCGCAGAAGTCCCTCCGTGGAAAGAGGATTGCAGCTGTGAAGGTGGCGAAGGATCGAATTGTTTGTCAGGTTCCAGCGGCGCGCTTGGTCGCCTTGAAGGGCCGTGCGGTGAAGCAATGTAAGCGCTGGGGAAAGCAGCTTTGGTTCGAGATGAACCAAGGGCCATCGCCTATGTTTCACTTGGGCATGACAGGCAGCTTCCATGTGAAAGGCAAAAAGAGCTTGAAGTATGTGCGACTTAAGGAGGATGATCCTCGAACTTGGCCCCCCAAGTTCTGCAAGGTGGAATTTCAGATGTCCGATGGCACGTGTTTCGCCATGAGCGATCCCCGGCGCTTCGGGCGAATCAGTCTGTCCCAAGATCCCGCAAAGCAACCGCCCGTCAGTAAGATGGGCTTTGACCCGCTGATCAAGATGCCTACCTTGACGGACTTCAGCATACAGCTGGAACGAAAAAAACGTGACATCAAGGCGACATTGCTGGACCAGAGCTTTGCTGCCGGCGTTGGAAATTGGGTCGCCGACGAAGTGCTTTACCAAGCTGCGATACATCCTCAGGAGATGGCCAACCAGCTGTCAGCCAAGGAGGTGAAGAAACTCCATGCCTCCTTGAGGAAAGTGGTCAAAAAGGCATGCCAAGTGAACGCAGACGCCAAGAAGTTTCCAAGGAGCTGGCTCTTTCACTATCGCTGGGGCAAGGGAAAAACGGCCAAAGACTCAAAGGGCCGAGAGATCAGGTTTCTCACCTCGGGAGGTCGGACTTCCGCCTTTGTGCCCTCTTTGCAAGGGTCAAGACCCAAAAGCGGAGTACGTCGGGCAAGCAGTCTTTCGGTCAAAAAGTCCTGTGTGAAACATGTACTAAATAATTATATATATACACATATATATTATACTACTATATATACTAGTATGTATATATTCATAATATATATATATACACTAGTATGTATATATTCATAATATATATATATATAATTATACTAGTATGTATATAATATATAGAATTCTCATGAATTCTTTATATATATATATATGTATCTATATATCTATATAAATGTATGCCATATTTGTTGCTGTGCCTGCAGGGCTCGAGTTGTGGCTCGCAAAGAGACCATGGAGGCAGGGCAGTGAGATGGTTTGCCATCGCAAATGGCTGGATTTTGAAGTGGACATAGTGGATTGGCATTGATGGTTGGTGGTTTGGAACATTTTTTATTTTCCCATATATTGGGAATAATCATCCCAACTGACCAATATTTTTCAGAGGTGTTGAAAACACCAACCAGCATTGATGGTTTCTCATCATATACATTCCCTTATCATCAGTGTCCCTATTAATAAATTGCCCTTTGGGGGTATAATTTCTCACCATTTTCAGACACCCAAGTGTGAAACTGATTTTTCTTCAAACGCTGTCTTTGTTGCCACTGGAAAGATGCCAGATGAGCATCGAGAAGGTGGACATTGAGAAGCCACAGCTGCCCAAGTTGAACCATGATCTAGATGGCATGGAGACTCAGGGACAGGGTTGAAAGGAACCAGAAGGAACCACCAAGAAGATCCAAGGAGTTGTTCGATAGTCGGTTGATAGGGCACTGTCAAGACCTTGGATTGCAACTCAATTTTTTTGGAACTTTGTACCTGCCTCAATGTGGATATCTCAATACTGAGCACCCCCCCAAAAATTATGCGGCCGTGAACGATATTCATGGAAAGCTATCTGGGAATGGAGATGGATATGTACTGGTAACATATAGTATAGGTATATTATATTTATGATTATTTATGTATATATCTATTGTTGTTCAAACTTGAACTGATTCTAAGTTGGCTTCTATTTGGTTTATTTGATTTGAATCTGAACTGAATTTGGATTGATTTCATTCGAAGTGACTTACTTTTTAAAAAATTGGAGTTCAAATTAAATGAGAATTGGCTCTAAGCTCTAAGCACTTCGACTTGAAACTAAGATGGAATCTATATAAACCAGTTTAAAGTCCCAAACATTAGGGAACTTTATTTGGGGGTTCAAACAATGCTGATGATCTAGGTTCCTGTTTGTTTCTCAGGTACCCCGTTTGCGAGTTTGTTGGGAGGCATTTTTGAAGCAAGATGCAATGAAGAACATGCAGACAAATACGGTTTCAACACCTTGATTTTTTTTAAAAATGTCAGATTCAAAAACATCAAAAGGAGCAAAACAAACATACATCAAAATGTTGGCGTACTTTGTTGTGAGATTTCTGAGGCTTGTATCAATCCCGGGATTTGGATGACAGCGGGGTAATGTTTTCCCCAGATGCGAAGATTTCGGAAGTCAGATCCCAGATCCCAGGCTTCACATGGCTTCACCCCATTCCATCCTGCCCAGATGATGACGGTTGGCCCATGGAGCATATGCTATCATCTCCGGCGTCTCCCGCGTCTCCGTCCTCACAGACTCCCACGGCGGGGTCCATTCGTCGCGCCAGCTCTGAGAAGATCAAGGCTTGGTACTGTAGCAAAAAGCTAAGCGATGTGACATAATACATGAGCAGTGACTAATATTTATATATATACACATAAATATATACAATATAATATATATATATACAATATAATATATATATACAATAATATATATATATACACATATAGATGCGAAATATGGGGATGTGAATGAACACATATAGTAGTCCTCGATTGCTAGCTTTGGGATGGGAGTGTCAAGCATTCTGCATCCTGCAACAAATTTGAATGTAGATATTGACCTGCCTCTCATCAGGATCAGAGCAAGTGAATCATATTCTTCAACAGACCTGTAGTAGATTTCAAAATTGCAAGATCCGGCCGAGGCTGAGATCCTAGTGAATGCTTTGGGAATGGATTGAATGGATGTTGTTGCATACAGCCTATCAGGACAACTCGGGATTTGACTTGTACTGATTGCAATGCATGATGCGTGACTCGCTTGCTCGCAGACAATGTGTACCCGTATGAAGGATCAAGCAATGTTGTAATCAATGGCATGTGAACTCACAATGGAAAGAGCTTTTCAAAGGAGCAGAGGGAAGTGATCACCCGGAAACCAGAAACATACAGAAACATCCAGAAACATCATTGACCAATGCAGGTTCCCAGATCACCCACGTCGCGGCCCAATGTCCAGGTTGGACAGGGCAGGGGAGGTGTTCGAGCTTTTGTGGCACCACAGATTGCTAAAAATGCAGGGTGCCCAAAAATTGTGTTAGTAGGAAATTGGGAAAATGGACTCTGGATGTTGTTTTTCAGGTATGTTTTCAGACAAATCCAAGCCAGGCATTGCATTTTGGAAGAAGCTTTACCTCTTTCCAGGATCCCAATCTTGAAACAAACCTAGGCCTTTGATTAAATCAAACCGATTGACCCAGAATTGTGATGTAAAGACATGTTGCCTGCGTATTTTGAAGATATTTTGAAGATATTAAAGGATTACACCTTCGTTTAAGCTTCATTTAGCCAATCCGCTGCCCCAGCCACAGGGAATGTACACCCATCTCTAGAACTAATATTTACTATTCTTGAACAGTTGAATATTTGCTTTTTGCTGGTTGCAGTTCGCGCTTGGCAGTTGGTTGTTCATGACCGTGGCCCATGTTCCCACGAGGTGTCGGAGGTTGCCCGTGAGAAAATTCGACAGATCAGGTCTTCTCAAAGCCTGAAGAACTCAAGACTCAGGTGCACACCCAGGCGTTGAAATTGCGGCATTAGCAGGGCAAGGGGTTCCATAGTCAGGGGGGTAGCCTAAAATGGATGGTTTATGGTGGCAAATCCAATGAACATGAATGATTCTGGGGCACCCCCCCATTTTGGGAAACCTACAGATGATATGAAATGTTTGTATCAGAGGTTCATAACGGTCCATGGACATTCGGAAACTAAGATGTTTTCCAGAGGTCTTATACGTAGCCATGAATCCGAATCCAATTAGAAGAAACTGAAAACATCTGAAAACAATCATGAAGTTTGCTTGAGGGCTAACGGGATTGTGGCCTGTCCAAAGCTGACCCTGGCATTGGTGACACGGCTTTTGGCGGATTGGTGGTTGAGGGGATGGCCGGGGCTATTGCTTCCCTGTATGGCAGGGTCTTGAGCCCGCAGGGCATCATCACCATTGTGTATGACTATATGGTGATCGATCTAAAGGTCCTTGTAAGGAGTTTTAATTGCGAAAGCCGTGCATGTTATGTTGGAAACCCTCGCGAAAGTTTTTTTTACGAGTTCGCGAAAGTAAAATTTTATTTCGCGAAAGTTTCGCGAAAGTTGGGTATTATAATCATTATATGTAAAGGGCTGCCACCCACTGCCGCCCGGGGTCCGGCAGGAGAAGGGCACCAGAGAATGCGAGTAGCAGCAGCCAAGTTTCCAAAAGTGAGGCTTTGCGAGAGCCAAACACCAAGGCCCCTGGTCTTTGCTTTTCCTTCCGTGCGCCCCCTGCTGATGGCCGGGGTCTGTGAATAGGGATATTTTCGCGAAAGTTCCGCGAAAGTTATGCGAAAGAGCGGGCGAAAGTCAAAGTGCATGTTGAAGGGGGTGGGCCAGTAAACTTTGCAAAAAAAAAACTGTCCCGAGAAGGGATTCCGTGATGCTAGCTGCATGTTTAAAAGGCTACCAAGAAGTGATCCGTGATTCTCTGGCGTAATTTGGCAGGTGGTGAACGAATCTTCATAAGAGGTGTTGTTGGCCAACATGGGCCCCGCGAAAGATAAACATGGAGTTCGTGAAAGTTTTGCGAAAGTAAATTTTTTATTCGCGAAGAATGGCCGTTCCGGGATAAAGGAATTTTGATCAACAACCATATATTATACATATATACATATATAGATATATCATCATATCATATCAATTACGTAGTTACATACATCATTGTATGTATGTATATGATTGTATATGTCTATATATATATTGTGCAGTAGCCAATCAGTTTATGGGCAGAACCTTAGTATCAAACCAAGCTGCTCCTGGTATCACCATCCGCCCAGCTTCGCAATGCTGGCACCGTTGTGAGTGGGGGATCTCAACAGGTGGTTTTCACCATGGGCAACCTGGGGAGCCCATGAGATTTCTTTCCAGGGTGTTCGACTTTGAGGGCCGGAATGCAAGAAGCCTTTCTCTTCAGATACTTTCGTGTTACAAAGGGGACATCCAACATTAGACTATGTCAATCTTGACTGCTGGTATTTGCAGAATCTGAGCCAAACCACCCATTTTTCTCTTGTCGATTTAAGTTTCAGCATCCAAATCGTCTCCGGGTGGTTGGCCTAGCCAGACAACGCCTCCATTGGAGGGGTTTTCCTCCGATGGAAAGATGACCAAGAAACGGATGTTCAGCATGTTTTTTCTCTGTCTAAAGAAAGTAGAAAGACTTCAAAATTGATGTTCTATGCATAGAATTATACGGGTTATACATGGTTATACCCACTTAATGCCACTTTTCTGCACCATGATTCGATAGGGTGATCCAATTCCACACTTCTCACAAACAGTTCAACAGTTCTGAGGCCTGGCTGACTATCACAACAAGAGCTCTCAAATGATGCGGACCATCGGTGGAAAGGCGGTACTGAGCCCTGGGAGCCCTGGGAGCCCTGGGAGCCCTGGGAGCCTGAACAGCTATGAAAAATGGAGCGTTTATGGATTTTATAAGTCATTTACCATGTTTTTACCATGGATTGTACCTATGAAGATTATGAAGATGGTGATTTTCCATAGCAAACGGTAAACGTTTACCAGAAGGGATTTAAGCAAGAAAAGTGGTGGAATGATGGGGATATCATGGGATATAGGTGACTTTCCTAGTATCAATGTGTACCAATGGTAAATGTCCATAGCTATGAAAATTTGCAGAGTGTAACAACAGACATGTCACAAGATGGGTTTTGAGATGTATATGTATATATATATATGATATGGTAGTACATAGACTAAAGATGACTAGAGCATATTCTATTGTCGCAGAAAAGCCCGATGTGAAAATTCAGAAAGGTACAACAGTATATGCCAGTCGGAAATCGAGTGATTGCATCTCAGCCGTGGTTTTTTGGGCGTCATACAGCGCGTAAATTTATAGTGCTGGTGCTTTCACTTCAGAGACTTGAGCATAGGTTGCTGTCCGTGGATGTGATTTGGGGTTTGAAATGTCTTCCCTACTACTGTAGTAGAATCAGCAAAGCCAGCAAACTGTCTTGGTGTGATCATTTCACTGCTTGGGTCCAAAGACATTAGGGCCAGTTGCATAGACAATTTTGACATGTTCACTGGTCAGGCTGATGACCGAAAGCGTCGCCTCTTGGTGTTGGAAGTGATGTGATGTTGGTGTCATGGTGTTGCAGGGTTTATTGTTGGTATTTTGTTTGATTCCCTGTGCCAATCATCGTTGCCAAATTGGAACCCATTTGGCCAAGCATTGAATCGCTTGCGTCAGTTGTTTCCAAGTGGTTGTGGTTGTAATGCGCAGGAGACTGAGATAATTAGATGATAAGTATGTAGATGGCTGGTACTGGTATATCGCAATTTCATTCTATTATACCAGTTCCATGGCGTCACAAGCCCCGGTCATAGGTGTGAACAGGCCCCTTTTATTGAATGGGTTTGAACTTTACACCGAACATCAAGAACCCTTAATTGATGCAACAGTTTGATTGTTCTAGAGATATTCAGTAAGGGTTAATGCAACCACCGCTAATATCAGTGGGTGCCCGCTAAGGGTGCCACTGTTGATCAATTGACACACATCACTTCACACTGGGGTCACTGATCATAGATTAATCGTGTTTCAACCATTGATTGTTCCAACATCCCTGGTTGATATTTAACTTATACTCTCTCACAACCAAAAGTAATTGAACATGTCCAATTTGTCAGGGGAAAAGCACCTATCAATGTCAGAATAAAACATCCATTGCCAGGGTCAAATTCCATGGTTTCAGAGGAAAAACCCATGGAAAACCTTTTCGGAAAAACCATGGAAAAACCATAGAAAAACCATAGAAAAACCATGGAAAAACCATAGGAAAAACCATGGAAAAACCATAGGAAAAACCATGGAATGTCATCATTTTCCAATATTTTCCATAGGAAAATCATGGATCTCCTGAGGCCCAGGTGGTGCCTCCACAGCCCCCAGCAGTCCAGTGGCGGGGCGACGCCACTCGGCGATGCCGCAGGGTGTGCCGAGATTGGTGGAGGCCGGTATCTTCAAACGTTATGGATGTCTGATATCGAATAATATATATATATATAGATATGATATACAGATATATGATGAGTGTCGGACCAGCGTGGGTGTCGTTGTTTTCCTTTCTTGTGCCATCTCTGCCCACAGCTGCTTTTGTCCGCCTCTGCTGCTAGCTGGCTGTTGTGCAGTTTCTTTTTCTGCGGCCTATGTGCAGTTGTTTTGCTTCTGATGTTGGCCTTTAGCCATCAGTGTGGGGCCGCTCATTTAGACGCTTTACTTCTTCGCTGTTGAAGATGATTATGTGTATAATATAATTATATATATATACATGATTATAATATATGTATACATATTATACATTATTATATATATATATATACATATGAATTATGTATGTATTTCTGGATGTGTGACTGATGATATGTGGGATGAGGCTGGAATCTTCCAAGATTATCCGTAGACCTCTGGATAGATTTGGTCCCTCAGATTCATGAAATGTGCAAATTTGTTGCAAAAAAAGTGGATCCATGCATGTGTTTCTAGGGCTCTAAATGTGAAAAATCACAGTATTTTGGATTTAAAAAAATCTTAGAGAATGTCCCGGTGGCAGCCGGTGGCTCGGAGTTGGTGCAGGGGAATCCTGGAGCAAGGAGATTGCAGTCTGCAGAAGGTTCTGTGCAACACCTCAGACATTGGACCATTGGAGCGGGGAGGAGTGTCTTCAACAACTGCCATGGTTCTCATGATGCACATTGATGCACCAAGTTCCAGTGGATTTGGGATGCTGCAGGCTGCTGCAGGTTGTTCGTGATTTGATTCTTGGCATCCCATGGGCTTCAGTACCACCTATTTCCAGGGAAAATTAGTGAGAGACACCGGTCAACTCCGTTTGCCTTTATCCTTCGCTGTTTTGACCAGGCACGGTGAGTAAGTGTGGGCTTCACACCATGAGACTGCGAGCAATTGACAAGGAACACTGCAGCAAACTGTAGGTTCCAAAATGTCTCAATAGACATGTGTAGACTAAATCAAAATCCACAAACTACACACAGAACGTGATGCCAATGGATTTGCTCTTTGGAACTGAAGCATCAGCTCGTTTGACCCAGACGCCATTTCGATGCCCATCCTTCGTGATGGCCACAGCGGTAGCAGCCCCATATTGGTGGCACGACAGCGAAAGCGTTGTAAAGGAGCGCCGTGGCAGTTGTGAGTTGTGAGAGTCAAACCGGGGGGCATAGACGACATACACGGGACAAGAGTCAAAATCGAGGAGCCATAGGGGGTTGCAGGGAAGTTCCCTGGACTGATACATACTCGTACTGGGTCAAAGTGGCAACTTATGCGGCGGTCATCTTCTTGTGCCGCAAACGGTGTGCCTTGGGTAAGTGCATGACATGTATCATTCTTGAATGATGAGCCTGTTGATTGTACTATCATTTGTTTGGACACTTTGCAGGCCACACTGGGTTTTGATCTCTATCTGTGTCGTACATACTCAATACTACTCAGACATACTCATACTGTATTGATCTGTATTGGAATGAAGGACGACAAGCAAGGACGACAAGCTGCTTTGCAGATGGAAGATTCCCTTCGCCTAATTCCCTGCGCCAAACAGGAGATCATCCATTCACTGCAAACTCGATGCACTTCAGGTGGGGTCCATGGTTGTTTTCCTGCAAAAAACATTGAACACTAACATCTACAAAAGCTCTTGATGGTGGGTTGAACTCGGCCATCATGCTTCACAATCCAGGCTCAACTTGACCTGACTTGTGCTACTTGTTTTGACGCACGGGCACTTCTTGTGGCTAGATGCTGGATTCACCAGGAAATTGGAGTTACGACAATGTCAAGTACAACATCAGCGCTGGCATTGCACAGGTCGCCTGAATTTCATAGGGCTGCCGGTGTCGTTGAGTGCGGAACTCTGACCCAATCATCTCGATATATCTCGATGAATTAAGTCACCAATATTGGCCAAACATTTCAACCCAGACTCACCCTCTGAGTCATCTGAGTCAATGCCAAAGATATCCAA